AAAATATGTAGCAGACTATCCAGCATTATGGCTGAGTTCTCTTTAGTACTGCATAGTTACTTTGCTTTTCAGAGAAAGAAGATTAATTATCTGCATAGCAATGCTCTTCCCCAATATGAATGGCAAGGTTTATTTCTTTAAGAAATAGATAAATATCAAATAGAAATGCTAGCAACATGAAATTTAATATTCTGTTGTTAAATATTTCTTATTTTCAAAAACATTCAAGATTGGTCTTGCAAAGTCTGCTATGCTGTGGAAATTAATTGCTTGCCTTAAAGACCACAGTTTCTAAAAATTCAACAGAACTAATATCAGCAGCTCCACGTTCTCTCTCTTTCTTGAAACAGTAGATGAAACTTAAGCCAATCATCCAGTCACTATAACAAATGGTGGTCATCTAGCAATTTATTTCTAATCATGATTTATGTTAGCTCACATCAAGTGAGGTTGTGGCCTCTTCATCTATAAAATTTATTATGTCAAAAAAGTCTGCAAAACAGAAAAAACTCTGGAGAGAGATACTTAAATAAGAGCTTTGCAATATCAGAGATTTTTTTAGTATGAGGTTTAAAGTGAATACAGTTTTTTGCTTTATATAGGAACTGTCATTTTGGAAAGGGCTCTATAGCCCAGGTATGCTTGAAATGAAGAACCAAAAGAAGAGAGGGCAGAGGGTTTGAGGGTTCCATCAACAGGGCACACCTGAGCAATAGGCATGTGCAAATTTTTCAGATGTTTTGTATGTCGTAAGGAAATTAGTTAAATCTGTACATCCAAAATGATATCCGACATGCATGCGTGGCCAAAACCAAAAATGTTAGAATCAAAACTTACCCCATACATTTTCATTTGTATTTTGTAAATCTTGGAAGGCTCCCTCCCAAAGTCAGCTTCATCTTCATTTTTCATGGCAAGCAAGCAAAACAAAACCAAAAAAGAGCTCCCATTCCTTTGTAAATTAATTGCCTCTCACCATTAGGAGTGGGAAAGAAGAGAGTAGAGTTAGCTGGGAAAACCACAGAACGCTTGGAAATGTAGTTTGGGAAGGGAGGATCCCAATGCCAGAGAATCCAAAAGGCCCTGCCCTAAACTACATTTCCAGAATACATCACCATCAGAAAGCGCTAGAAATTTGCTCCTCTGTAGCCATCTGTCAGAGTTCCAGTAAATGCGGGAGGGACATCATGCTATAGCACATTTTGATATAGTGTTGCTGACTCCTCACCAATTTAACATAGTGTGTGCCAGAAAAACAAAGTTTCTGGAGTGAAAAACTACTTTCAATGTAAGGACTACATCATTAAACAGAAATTAACACTTTCAAACTAGGAATGCATTTTCTTTATTATTATATTATTCAATGGTCATCTGTTGGGTTTGTTTGTAAGTTATGTCATTTCTTAATTGGTTCTATCATAGAAATGTGGAGCAAGTTTATTAAACTACAAAAACTTTTTTTTGTGGGAGGGACATTGTGTTATAGCACATTTTGCTATCTTGTTGAATTTCCACCAATTTAACATAGTTTGTGCCACAAAAAACAAAGTTTCTAGAGTAGAACAACTACTTTCAATGTAAGGACTACATCATTAAACAGAAAAAAACATTTTCAAACTAGGAACATATTTTCTTTATTATTAAAAAATATTGTTTATAAAAACTTTGAAAATTCCCCATAAATCCGTGGATAAGTGAAATGTTCTGATACTTGGTGGGCTAAGAGTGGTAAATGTGTTCTAACATTGTAGCAAGTTTCACCCCAATAGCTGTAAAAATGAGAAAGGAGAAAGGAACCCCTGAAGATTCCCAAATTGTTGCAAATTAATTATGTACAATTACTATAATGAAATAGTAACAATATTTCATTACTCTCATTATAGTAACAAAATTCTCACTAACAATACTTTAGAAACACTTTAGAAATGAAGTGCCAGCAAACCCCCTGTGAAGATCCCTTACCTTGCCAGCCTGGGTGGCAGGGCCTAGGAGAGGCAGGCTAGTTAGTTTCAGCCTTAGAAGGCCTGGCAGAGGGCAGCAGGAGCCATTTTAGTTTAGGGAAAGCTCCATTTCAGAGAGGGGGAGTGGCCTAGGCCTGAGCCAGCCTTAGAGCAGCCAGGATTGGTTTATTAAAGGGGGGCGGAGTTAGACTGTTTGGAGGGAAAGAAAGAAGCTGTTTCAGTGAGTCAGTCTGTTGATGTTAGAGTTTAGAGCAGGATTACAGAAGTTTTTAGGAGTTCGTGTTAAGAATAGGCAGTTTGCCTGAAGTTTGCCAGCCAAGTGAGCTGTAGCAAACTGGGTACAGCTATTTAGGGAAGAAATAGCTGGGTTTTATATTTGTAACAAAGAAAGAACCATTCTCATGCAACCGTTACGCTTTCAAGAACCAAAACATTTTATCTGTAACAGCCAAGCTTATTAAACTGCATTCACTTCATTCTGTACTATATTAAATAAACTTTCCTTGTTTATTTTAAAACTTAAAAGCCTGAGTCCAGTGTGCCTTTGTGGCTATAGTTCTTTTCATTCAACCTCACCTGTTTTCCTTCAGAGAAGCCATTTAAAAGACACAGTACTTGGTGGTCTAAAAAGCCTTTTCTTAGTTTAACCAGCTAGAGGGTTCCTGTTCATTTAGTTTATGGTGGCAGCGAAAGTTTAAATAGAGAGACATCCCCTCAAACGTTATATAGGTGCCAGTGAAGTCTTTATAAAGTGGTGTAAATTCTTTATATTGGAGGGACAGTGGTGGGATCTGTTTGCCCCCTGTCCAGTTATATTGTTTGGCCACACGACAGCCTTTATACCCCCCACCCCAGTTTTATAATGACTTTTGAACATTTTTTAATAGATCGATCGCACATGCCTTTTGGATAGAATATTGTCATCGAATAGACCCCACCTTATCATGGCCTGTCTTAATAGGAAGATATATATTTTATTTTTGTGTTAGTTACAGTAGTTGTTTCTAAATTTGCACCAGTATTTTGAGTTAGAAATTACAAAAATGAATGAAATCAATGTGCTCTTTTATGGTGTCAAATCCCCACCCCCTTTTGAGTGGGGGCTATTGGTAAGTGTCATCTTAGCAACATGTCTTGACAGGGAAGAGTAAAGAAGATAGAAAATGCATTCAGTGCAATAACATGGCTATAATTCATAAACAGACATACTGAGAACAGTTTATCCAGACAAAATTGCTATTGTCAGAAATTAATACCTTTAATGCCATTTCCATCAATATAAAATTATATCACCAATGAATGATATAATTCAGCACACAGTTAAAATGCATTGAAATATAGAGCAAAATGAAAAATTTCAGCATATTTAAGATTTGTGTTCTATTTTTATTTAATAAAAGTATATTTGTATTGGCTTATGGGCAAGTTTGCTAGTTAGAAATATGGGCACAATAAAGAAAAAGTAAGCCATGAGTAAGGGTTAATCCACTTGAAATATTAAATATATATCATGAAATATATCTATTTCTTAATTTCAAGGAAGTACAGGATAGAAACCCCATCCATACGTCACACATCACTCATGAATTGTACATAGTTCCCTACAATTTCATCCCAAGGATCCTAACTATCTCTGAACATGTTGGTATGATGGCATGTCTCTCAAAAAAAGTCAAATTTTACATTAAATTAGCAGCTATGCCAACAAATCTGGTTCAGTCAGAAAGAAATACAACTGAAAAAGAATACATTCACATTAAAACAAGGTATGTGGCACTCACCATGTTATAAAGCAAATTAGCACCCCAGGGGTACTCCTGGGTGTGCTATTTGGCTTCAGAACAAGGTGTGCAGACTCCAGGTACCTTGTTTTAAAGGAGAAATGCTTGTTTTCAAAGACTCTTTCCTCCATTGCTGTTGTACCATATTTCAGCAACATTGAATTAGAGTACATGTGGTATAGCTTTATTAAGGGTGGCAATAAAACCTCTGGTGTTGTAAGGTTGCTCATTTCTGCTCTAAACTGAAATAGAAGCAAAACATGAGTAAAAAGCCCAAACTCTCAACTAATAAATTTAAGAATAAAGGTGTGTGAGGAAGGTGTGAGCCCATTTTTTCATACACAGTAGTTCTAATCCAGAACAACCTTTGCACTGGAATCGTGAAGACAGAGCTACCAAGTACATATGGCGAACAACAGTATTCCCATCCAAAAAAAAAAAACCAAAAACATATACAGACAGGACCTGAGTTACAAACATCCAACTTCAGAACAAACCTACAGAACCTATCTTGTTTGTATATGCATATACTCAGTAAACAAACAGTAGCACTTTCTTATCATGGCATAGCTCAGACCAAAGCTTACTCTGCCATTTCAAAATGGAAATGGACGTAGTACAACACAGATATATTTAATATATACTAAAAACCACTAAAATACCAGCTTTACTCAGAGTTCAGAAAATTACTTTTAAGAAAAATGAATACAATGACATGCTAGAGTCATCCATAACTGGGCTGCAGTAGAATGATGCTCTGGGGTCCAGTTATGGATGGCTCAGTGTGTCATCATATTCATTCTTTTTAGAAGTAACTTTCTAAGCTATACTTTTAACTTCAAAAACAGAAATATGAAAGATGGCCAGAATCATGGGACCTAATCATTTTCAGATGAATTGTAGTTGGAGAATCAGTTTTGCCGATTAAGCACCCTTAATACCCAAGAAATCACATGAGACCACAGCTGATCTTCAGTTCTACAAGTAGCGGACCTGAGGGATTACAGCAGGCAACAGATTTTTCAAAAGTGTCATAAAATATGTGCTTGTTCCTCTGGTTTCTTTGCCTTCTAGTTAGAATTAACCAATCTTCCAGCAGTGCTTAGAGCTGCTCTGTGAGCATAATCTAAAACTAAATTTGACATTAATGTAAACCCATTTACATGCTTGGTGAAATTGAATTGTCTCCAAGGAGGAATTCAGTTATGTTGTAATCATACTGGGGGGGGGGGGGGGGGAATCAGAGCAAACCACCTACCTCTTCCAGAGCAAGGTAAATGTGAGGTCCCTTGACATTTCCTGATGCTCTCTTCTGCTGACATGGAGCATGACAACGGATGCTCACACTTCTTCCCTGTCCACCTTGGTTTGCAGTCACATCTCCCACAGTTACATTGACCATGGCCTTAACAAAATGAAATATATATATATATATTGACTCCATCTATATGTCACACTGTTGTACAGCTATGGTTCTCAACATTTTACCCTCCAGGTGTTTTGGATTTCAGTTCCAAGAAGCCCAATTCAGTATGACCAATGGTCAAGTCATCTGGAAGATGAAATCCAAAGCATGCCAAAGATCAAAGGTTCAAAGTTACTGTCAAAGGTTGAAAGTCTCCTTCAGGCTTTGTTTAAACACTACTGGGAGCAGTGATACCTCCATGGTTTCTTCTAATAGTGGGTATATTTCCCACCATATGTTTACACTGGACATGGGTCAGGCCTACTATAAAGCAGAATGAGCCATTGTACATAATTGGGGGAGGGGGGCAAGAAAGGAAAGCAAAATTTGGGAAGCACAAAGCTTTTCACACAAAGGTTCTTGGATTGTGCCCCCTCTGACAGCCTCCTACTTTGCATGAAGAGGAAAACACTCTCTATTCAGCACTGGTGAACATAGCAATATAAAGAATTTTCAAATAATTTATCATCAAGGCACTATGTTGGTAAAATGTTTTGTGCAAAACTATGCTATTTTTGGTGCAAACACTTAAGCTTTATGTGTACTTTTCATGTTGCAGAAACTATGTCTAAACTTTCATAATTTCACTCAACTGGGAGAAAATATTTGAAAATCTTCATCCTGTATAGGAGAATGAATAAAACAAAAATTGACATCCCTAGATGAATTGCTTCTTTATTATATACACCAACTTCCTTATTACATTGAGTGCATAGGAAGAAAATGGTGTTCTGCGATCATGTTTTATTTTGTTGTTTTGCCTCAACAAAATATATTGGGCCAATGCTGGGCTGGCAACCTAACCATGTACTATATTGCACATTTTCCTTATGTCCTGGGATTACCGATGGAGTAGAAATGAAGGGAGGAGGCAAATACTCCAAAACGATGTGAATGACCGTATTCTGATATTTCAACAAATATTCCTAAAATATGTTGCCCTGTATTCCATAATGGAAAAGAGGAAAAGTATACATGTACCAAATAAAACAATACATGAAAATGAAAAGGAAAAAGAAAAAGTAGGACTCCAGAAAACCAGGGTTCAAAACTCCCATCAGCCATGTAAACCCACTGGTCAAACTATCTCAGTCTCAGAGGAAGGCAATGGCAATTCTCCTCTGAACAAACATTACATATGCCCTTATATTTGTTGTAGAGTTACCATAAGCCAGAAATGACTTGAAGGCATGCAATAACAAAATAAAATAAGCAATCCTATATCCTTTTCCCACTGCCGATATATACAATTTGTAGAATTTTCACACTGCGTTGCTTCATAGGGAATAAGAACAGATCGGATCATTATGAAGGAAATCAGATAATCATGTAGCTTGTTCATAAACATGTTTTGCATCCATTTCCTTAACACCACTAGCACTCGTGTTTGAAAAACAAAGGTAATTATTGCAAGGCAAACTCCTCTTCCCTGCTGGGGAAATTTGTTACTATCCTGTTACACTCCTGTTACACTCTAACTGATAAAACTATCTTGAAGAAGACACTCATTCAGCTAGATGAGTGACTATAAATTGAAATTTCTAGAAAAATTGGAATCTCCGGTCTCCCAGCTCTTGGTGAACGAAGTCTTTAAATTAATCCTTCGATTTTATGCAGCTACAGACAAGCCCTTATCTTCAAAGTGATATTATGGTTCCCAACTGGTTAATGTACACATGGAATAAGAGCTCCCAACATGTGGAATGAATGATCAACTTGGCTAGGGTGAAAGCCTAAGCAATGTTTTCATGGCTTCAACTGGTATACCAGATTATAATTAAGGTTCATCATATGTTTCCTAACAATTTCAGTCATTAAAAAGAGGGACAAGACTGCTAAAACAATACATTGATGGGACCTAGAGCAAATCAGCCAGAACTCTCCCTAGATGATGATTAAACTAAGGTTGTCACACTTTTGCCATAACACACAACCAAAAGACAATAATATTTTGTTAGATTGAGAGCAGTAGAAAAAGAGGAAGACCACATTCCAGTTGGATAGACTCAAGCACAGAAACAACAGCCCTAAGTCTACAAAATCTGTGAAGGACTATTGAGGATAGGGTAGCTTAGCAGTTTCCCATTCATGAGATTGCCATGTCAGAGTTGCTTTGAAGGTAGTTAACAGCAAGAAATAATAGTTCAAATCTGAAAGGGAGGAGATTCTACTATTCTACATTTTGTATAAAATTCTAGTGTCTCCTGAAAAATATGTGCTGCATAACTTGGAGATCACTCTACTGTTAGATGGCAGGAATTTATAATAAAGTCTGTACAACCATGAGGGTGGCATTTCATGGGGTAAAATATGCCAACAGTCAACAACCTGCTGTCTTAGAGAGGTGAATAGCCACCTTTTATTCTTGATTTATAGCCATGTAAAATTCTTTCCTTTAAAATATTTCCCTTACCTGAACAAAAATCATCTGAGTATCTGTCATATAGGGCTTTGCAGTTTTGTTCATCACACTCACAGGTGTCTCCGTGAATATCTCCCCAATCTCCAGTTGGGTCAACATCATGACAAGTGCATTCTCCACAAATGCAGGTGCCTAAAGTGGGAAGAAGTGATATTAACATTAACAGTGACAGATCAATAAATTGTGATAGACATAATTAAGAAAAAGAAACAATATTACCTGATACATTTCTTCTGAGCATAACACAAGCATAAAGATATCGTTTTTGCACACTAATTTATCACTAATGACACTGCTATTTTTACTGTAATGGATATTATTTATGCATTGACTAGAAATTGTAGCATTGTATTATAATATATTAACCTAAAAACAATTCTGGTTTCAAGGAGCATAGACCTACTGACGCAGTGGAAACTTAGTGAGCCAACGTAAGCTCACTAGTTCAGTCAGTCTGCTGCAGCTGGGACTAACAAATGGATTAAAGTCAGCAGCAAAACAAAGTAGATGTTACCTATGACAACATCTACATTTATCTTCAGATGTGACAGTGCAAATGTTTCTGAAAAAAAAAAAAACCAGAGTACTTTACCTGCCCTTACCCAGGACAAAAATGACTCAGATCTCAAAGGATATGGAATTGTCATTACGTGACTTAGGCTGTCTTTGTCCACAGTCCCTGCATGGTCAGGATGGGGTGGGAATTTTATCTACACCAACCATTGCCCATGAGCACCTTGAATACCAGCTTAATTTTTTTTGGCAGAACTGTGTAGTTTGAACTATAGATTTAATCCTTTTTAATTGTATTTTAATGTTTTTATGTTTCATGACCTGGAAGATCTTATTTTTTAATTCTATTTTTGTTTTTGATGCATTTGTCCTGTATTGCTGTTAGCTGTATTTTGATTTTTGATGCATTTTCATTGCACATTAAAATTAACCAACAAATCAGCCAACACACAAAAGATTCCATTCAATAGAATGAATGGTAAATCATGATAAATTAGACAAAGTATCCCACCATTACAGTCTGGTCTAAAGTTCTTTCGGGTATCACTTATTACCACATGTATAGAATGCTGTTTCTATGACTACAGATGCTTGTTTATTTTGTTTACAAAGACTGTCAAGTTATATGAAATTAGCTTCTATTATTTCTCTGCTTCTACCATGTATTCAATTGACCTGTAATTAAAAGGAGAGGTTTTTCCCCTCTCTCTAAATGCAATCAGGATAATTAGATGCTTCTAGTTTAGCTGCTATGCACAAAGAGATAGGTCTTTGCAGTTTGCACCTTTGCTTTACCATAATAGGTCTGGACCTCAACCAGAAGAATAAAAGTAGATATTTTAAAATACTTGCTTAGTGAGCATAGGCCTCTCGGCTTATCAATACTAACTCATTTATGAAATTTTGTTCCTTCTAAAGAGTATCAAACTGAAGTTTGATTCAATTTTAAAATGAGCACACAAGTTTTAATTTGAAATTTCTGGCAAAGGACATCACATATATGCAGAGAGAATTCTGAAAAACATTCAATATTTTTCAGCAACATTGACTAGTTGGCTCACAGTGAATTGTTCCATGGCATTCCATGGAATGTTCCACTGGCAAGCAAGAGATTGCAAACAGGGCTCTGGCAGCAGCCTCCTCAAGCACAGGTAAGGAAGGAAAAGTCCAACACTGGACAGCGGGGGAGCTAGGAAGGGAGGCTTTGAATCCTTCCTTCCTTGGCTGGGATTGAGGATGCTGCTGTCAGAGCCTCATTTGCATGTCCAGGCAACAGGAGGGGGTACTAAATTGAAACGAGGGGACTGCAAACAGGGTTTTGGAAGAGCATCCTCCTCAAGCCCAGGCAAGGAAGGAAGGATCCAATGCCTTCCCACCCCCTACATTTGCCCAGCTGCCTGTGCTTGCAAGTAAGGAAGGATCCAACATCAGGGACAGGAATGACAATGTTGGATCCTTCCTTCCTTGCCTGGGTTTGAAGTTCCTGCTGTCAGAGCCCCATTTCCAAGCTCAGGTGGTGGGAAGCTAGGTTACAATGAGAAAAAGGCAAATAGGGCTCTGGCAGCCTCTTCAAGACGAAGGAAGGCAGGAAGGATCTAACATTGGGCAAAGGGAGGGGGTTGTATCATTCATCCCTTATCTGCTTTTGTAGCAAGGAAGGAAGCCCAGTTTGCAGGCCAGATTGCAAGAAGGAGGCAGCTGAAGCCCACATGTCAGTAGTTTTCTCATCACCCTTTAGTTGAGCCAGTGGGACTCTCAGCCTGAGTGTTAACAGGAGCAAGGGTTCTCTTTGGGATGAAGGAGGAGGGGAGGACCAGCAGAGGAAGAAGAATGTGTGTGTTGTGGGGGGGGGAGGGGAGGAGTTCTATCTTCTGGGTTCCCATCCTCAACAGGCATGCAGCATCACCTCATGTTTTCTTTGAAGTCATCTTGAAAGACACCCACGGATAACTTTTCTGGTTCTTTCGGACTACCTGTGGTCCATGGATCACCAATTAAGAACTACTAGTGTACAGTATGGCAGCAAACATAATAAACACCTTTATTGGGAGAATTCTTGAGCCTGGGGAGCTGATTAATATAGAATGCATTTATTTTAGGAAGAACAATGTTTGCTGATTGATATTGGCTGGCAAAGAGGAAGGTCTTATTGAAGGAACAATGGATAGTTATTCCTGGAGGATGGGTTTGGGTTTTGTCAGAGAAGAGTTCATTGTGTTGTGTGTCAAAACATTCCTGGCACATATCTACATTCCAGATCCTAATCTGCTCCAGGGGCTTGGCTATATTTTCTTTTGAATTCATTAGGTGATGGGAAAAGCAGGGAGGGAACTGTTAGTGCTGCTCAGTTTAGGGTCTTTTTCTGGCTTTCAAAGCTTAATGGGGCAACTATGGGTCATTCCTGAACCTCAACACTTTTGGGGGTCCCAGCCTCAGACAACATACACACAAATACAGAGGATGCATTTGCACAATAAACTAGAGCAGGGTTTCTCAAACGGTGCTTCTCCAGGTGTTTTAGACTTCAGTTCCCAGAAATCCCACCAGCTTACCAGCTGTTAGGAATTGTGGAAGCAGAAGTACAAAATATCTGAAGGTGCACAGTTTGAGAAACTGTGAACTAGAGATTTGTAGGAAATCTGGCTTGCCATGAGCAAGCAGTGTTTTTCCAACATGAAACAGTGAGTGGTTAAACATCTCATGGATCACCATTCTTTAGTTAGTTTGTTTTCTCTTCCCAACAAACCAGTGTCTGAATCCAGGAGCTTCATTGCCTGAAAATGTAATAAGTGAATCTCCATGTTGTACGCAATGCAAGCAAGTAAATCAGTATATTCCTTATTCCTGAAAAACCAAGGTTCCTGCTGAAACACATATTTCACAGATACTTCTTACTACTTCATCAGGAGCCATTTGCAGCATTCTAGGACACTAATGCCCCAGTTGAGCTATGGAGCTCCATGCCACCCATCAGACAATGCAGGCTCACTTCCAGTGGGGCTTCATGGCTCATCTGGGTGCAAGCATCCTGTGATGCATGCTGGAAATGCGGGAAGCTTCCCATGTTCTGTTAAAAACTACAGGGTCAGCATATGGGGAAGCCACAAGGTGATGGGGAAGCATCACTGTGGGTGATGTGATCCATGTGATGAGGTTCTTAGATACAACAGGTGACAAGTGATTCCCTGTATTTCATTAATTTAATATCTTCCAAATTGCCCTGGAAACACTGGTGAGAGGTATAAAAATCAGTAACTATGTAAATAAATTGAGCTTCAATATATACCATCCTTTCCCAATGATATGTAAAATGAGTTTTCATTATACTATGTAACATCACAACTTTGCAAAAGGTTAATTTTATAAAAATAAACTTAATCCAACTTCAAGAGATCCAGCTGTGTAGAGCAACACCAGAAAGACACACCTCTGTTGCTGCAGATTTTGCCTTCTGGAGAGGTACACCTCTTCTTGATCTCCCACGGGGCGATGTCACATTGGAGTTCACATTTATCACCATGCCAACCAGCCTCACAGTAACAGTTTCCACAGTAACACTTGCCATGGCCTTAACCCAAAACAAAATGTTGACAGTGAGGATAAATTGTCATTATATATATATATATATATATATATATATATATATATATATATATATATACCAGTGTTCTGTTCATTTCTGAAGACAATTTTTGAGTGTGAGTTCAGGTGATTAACAGCAATGATAGCAATTTATTTTATTCTGTCCAGAAGACAAACTAGCTAAAACCAAAAACTAATTTTAATTGTTTTCTACCCTATTTGCTGGAATTGCTGAATTAACCTATATCTCTCATATCTCCCTTATATTCTTCTGGAATTCATAGTTCACCTCATCGCATATGGTTATGAATCTTCTAGCAACAGCCAACCTGTGTCTAACTGGCACTGCTGATTCATACTGAAAGAAAAACATTTTAGCTTGCCATTATGAACATTTCACAGCATTTTGACCAAGACACAAAACCTAAATACTAGCCAAGAGAATGTAAAGCAGTTGTTGGTATTCTTGATCAGCTTATTCTTTCATAAAGAATACAGTCAAGGCCAATAGTGTGTAGAGGAGTGGGACATGCTAAGTTCTCTCCAATAACATAACTCCATCAGCAACTTTCATATAGACAATGGACTTTATATCAAAGTCTGGACAATTATGAATATATATATATATATATATATAATCTCCCCCTCGATGGATTGTCACCTTGTCATGGTGAGGGGACATGTGTGCTGCAGTGAACCTGTGAGCAAAGCTCTCAGAAGTCCAGTGTGGTCTTCAGCCATGTCATACCGCAGACATTAGGGCTGCGGTACCACAGTGAATTAAACTGCTAGCTGCAGGAAATCTGCTGACCGGAAGGTCGGCAGTTCAAAGCCACGGGTTGGTGTGAGCTTTTGAATGCCAACTCTAGCCTCTGCCAACCTAGCAGTTCGAAAGCATGCATGTGAGTAGATCAATAGGTACCACCTCAGTGGGAAGGTAAAATGGTGCCCCATGCAGACATGCAGGCAACACAATCGGAGATGTTTATGGACAACAGGCTCCTCGGCATGGAAAAATGGAACAAGAGCACCTCCCTGTGGCCAGAGTTGAGCATTGCCTCCAGACACCGAAGATGGAAAAAGGAGAAGGCCTTTACCTTTGTCTGTGTTGTATGTTGTTGTTCACTGTGTGTAAAAGGCATTTAATGTTTGCCTCATATGTGTATATTGTAATCCGCTCTGAGTACCTCAAGGGAGATAAAGTGGAATATAAATAAAGCATATTAAGTGTATTATTAAAGGGGATCTTACCTTCTATCTCAACCTTCTTCTTTTCCTCTTTCTAACCAATTTTCCTCATTGTTCCTCCCTTATTCAATAGCTTCCTCTCTTTCCATACACCTCCTTATCTTAATAATACTTTTTTCAAGTCTTTCTCACACCAGTGTTTGTTCTTTCATTCTTCTCCTCTAAAATCCTCTGCCTTCAAATTATATGAATCAATTTATGTCTGACTTTCCCCTCTCAATCTTCCAAAATCCCTCTATTTCCATTGCTATGTCTTACCAAAGACCACAGACCTACTTATCCACAGAAAATATTAGGTACTACTTTCTTATACAAAACCTACTTCGCTAGTCATCATTGTGCTCTTAAGACTCTTAAGCCACCCCATACTAGTTGGAATGCTGATGGAAATTCCATCATCTCACAGTCACTCTGCTATTTGCTGGCCACTGAGAAAGTGAGAAAATAATATTGATTTCTCTTAATTCTGAGGGAATTCCACAAAAAATTAATAGAGCAACAACATTTCTTGAAATCAAGATTATTTGATATATTGCAGTCCAGTGAAGTTCAAACCGTGTTTTATGGGTCCACACTGACCACATAATCATTATCATCATCATTTAATTACTTATTAATCGCCCTCCATCCAAGATGCTCTAGGCAATTTACAAGCTAAAAAGGATAAAAATACATACATACAGATATTGATAAAATTAACATAGATCAAAAGCAAAGAGCCAGGTCTTAAGTGCTAGAGTAAAAGGCCCTAACTTATGCATGGCTCTCATATAGGCCGGCAAGGAATTCCATAAGGCAGGGGCAGAAATAGAAAAAGCTCTGCGTCTGGTCCAAGTGCACTTTTCTAGGACCCGGTATATAAAGTAAGTCACGTTGGGATGGTCGTTGCGACCTCCGATGATGGGAGAATGAGAGACGGTCCCTAAGATACAATGGACCCTGGCTGTAAAGAACTAGCATCTTATATAGACCATGGTAATCAGTTGGAAGCCAATGCAAATGCCCCAACACTGGTGTTATATGGCATTTCATGGGTGTTCTTGTGAGTAGCCTGGCTGCCGCATTCTGAACAATATGGAGTTTTTGGGTTGTAGACATCGGAAGGCCAACATACAGGGTGTGCAGAGTCCAGCCTAGACGTAACCGTGGTATGGATGACTGTTGCCAGAGCCTCATCAGATAGGTAGGGTGCCAATTGCCTCACTTGTCGTAGATGGTAAAAGGCCTGTTTGCTGGCAGCAGCGACCTGAGCTTCCATTGTCAGCTGTGAATCCAAAACAACACCCAAGCTCTTAACGGTAGGCGAAGGAGATAGGGCAGCACCATTGAAGGTGGGTAGCAAATGGGTCAGACCAATCGAGCGGCCATGCCAGAGAATCTCAGTCTTTGCCGGATTCACCTTCAGTCTACTAGCACATAGCCAGTTCGACAGAGCCTCCAGACATAAGGTGAAATTATATGGTATTGACGTTGCTCCAGGCTCCAAATGCAGAAGGAGTTGGGTGTCATCCGCATATTGATAGCAGTCTAGGCCGAAACTCTGAGCCAAACTAGTAAGGGGTCTAACATAGATGTTGAAGAGAAGAGGGGAGAGAATTGCACCTTGGGGTACACCACATAGGAGGGGAGATCTTTCAGAGACTTGATCCATATACTCCATGCATTGGCTCCAGTTTCAGAGAAATGAGTCGAACCAATTGAGGGCCTGACCATTAGATAGTAATCATTAGATCGTAGTCAACGGTGTCAAACGCTGCTGTAAGGTTGAGAAGTACCAGTAGCTCTGATCCGGCGCTATCACACTGGCGACGAAGTTCATCTGTAATGGCAACCAGGACTGTCTCCGTCCCATGCCCAGGGCAGAAACCTGACTGGGAAGGGTCCAGGCCGGCTGTGTCATCCAAAAATTGTTGCAATTGTCCCAGTACAGCCTGCTCTATCATCTTGCCTAAGAATGGAAGGTTAGAGACAGGATGATAATTGCAGTTCAAGCTGCAGTTTTTGGCAGTGTAGAGCCAGCCTTGGACTGAGGTTGCCTTATCTCAAGGATAAAAAGCTTAGTGACAACAACAGAAGGGAACCTATATTTTCAGCTGTGGGAGTGATAAGAGGAACAGATGTTCTGTAAAGCTAACTATATCTATAACTCTACATTTTAATCATCGTTACCAAGCCTTTTTGGATATGATGAAAATGGATTCAAGATTGTTAATATCTTCCAAAAAGGAAGAAACCAAACTGCAATTTTCAGAAAGTTCATCATGAAGTAACTTACATGTTGTCAAATGCTTTCATGGCCAGAATCACTAGGTTGCTGTCAAAGAGCATGAAAGGCACTGCATACTAATTCAACCAGAGCAGTCAGCTATAGCAGAGCACTTGATGAACCGAACTGGATACAGAATACTATTTGATTACACAGAAATGCTGGACCACTCTAACAACCACCATGTCAGATTACACAGGCAAGCCATTGAAATCCATAAGCATGTGGACAATTCCAACAGAAAAGGAGGGAACCGTGAAAATGAACAAAACCTGGTTACTAGTATTAAAAATACCAGAATCAAGACAGTACTCAGAAACACCACTCAGGAACACCACTCAGGAACAGGGTAACTCCAGACAGCAAACAATCAAGTACCAGTTAATATCTCCCAAACAAAGGATCTCCCCAGGCAGAAACAGCCAGGCTTTCCAGCTACTCAGTGCTACTCAAGCTGGCTAATTGCAACATTCACACTTGCTTCAAAGAGATGAGTTCTTTCATACTCCCTGGACATTCCACACACACACACACACACACCCCACTAGCCTCATTTCCAACAGGCCTCTGAACAAACCTCTGAGGATGCCTGTCACAGATGCAGGTGAAACATCAGGAAGGAATGCTACCGGAACATGGCCATACAGCCCGAAAAACTCACAGCAGCCCAGAAGTAACTTATGTTTGGAAAGTGTGGATATCATGTTAGTTTTGTCAGGAAAGGCATGGCTAAATTAATTGATGGTAGTAGAAGAAACCATGAAAAGTAATAAAACTATTGATTTGGTATTTAGGTAGGGGGAGAAAAACCTTTTTAATAGCTACTTCCTGGCTGCCAACGTGGCACCATATGAATTTCAACTGTCCCTTACTGCTATTTTGAAAATCCAGCAACCCTACATTAGACTGAAATTGGATTCCTCCCACATTACCAGATGGTTTAAGTATTAGATATCCATGGCTTTGTGATATACCACTTTGTCCTTTACCCAAATTCTGCTGGCAATAGAATTTAGCCCTAGATTTCAGCAGAAAACTCCACAGTGCTAGAGAAATGCCAGATACACTATTACCATTAGACACATGCCAGTGTATTTCCCACCTAAGAGTTGAAAAAAGAGAAAAAAGGAGGATGCAGCCTTGAAATTACTTCCACCTAACTTAAGGAGACCTCCTGCTTCATAGGTATGTATAGGATTTCATGCCTGTTTTATAGTAATACGATAGTATTTCATTTGACTGTACATTCGTTCCTGCCATGACTGGAGTAGTTGCTGTTGGAAGGAACGCTGATGGGCAGTTTTATGACAACACAATGGAAATAAAGACTAAAACCAATATAGCTGAAACACTATCTCAGAAGATGATCTTGGCAAGATCCAAATGCAATAAGTTTGAATTGTCCCCTGGAAAGTACAAAACAGTCAGCCTGTCACAACCTTCAGAGGACTCATATATACTCATGATTCCCATTCATTTTAATAGAAGGAATTACTGTTATGTACTGCAGGAACAGATTTATCTGATGCTGCTTTCTGCTGAATCCATTGCAAATGTCAACACATTTATGATAATAGTCACAGGAAGCAAACAAGTGTTTTTGTACTGTCATGACATGGACTGGAACATGCCAAGATATTATTTTTCCCCATAGTAATTCTCAAACAGCTTTAGTGGATTACATTTCACTGTCTACAGAGAAGAACCCCATTCCATTTCCTTTTTTTCTCAGATGTTACTTGTCTTCCATCTTTCCAGCACAAAATACCATGCTGGGCTAAAATATATTACTTTTCACAGTCACTTCTGTTGTCAGCAAGACTCTCTGTATGGCAGAAATTCTGCAAACAAAAAGAAATTAAAAGCCCACTCTAACTTTTCCAGAAAAAAATAATCCCAGCTGACAAAGTACCACCTCAATTGTATTATTCCCGACAGTAGTTAAGATTAAATCCCATTGATGACTTCTGTGGATTTACTCATGACGAATGTTAGTTAGATGAAAACCCTTCAATCTAAAACAACAATAGATTCCTAAAGTCAAGAACATTGCAATGTTTATTTGCCTATATTTATCTTTACCAGTATATTCTTACCTGTGCACATCTCGCCTGTTTCTTCATCTATGCACTCCCTGTCATCACATTCACAGTATTTACCATGGATCAATCCATTTCCTTCTAAATTATCACATTTACATCTGCCACAATGACACGTTCCTGTAAAAAAAATATATACCGGATATCTGAAATGAGACTATAAAAATCAAACTACAGTTTCAAGGCTCATCTCTTTCTCCCTTCCTTCAATCTTGCACCTTCCAAATGATTTGGCTGACAACTAATCTTATAACTGAACATTACTGTCTTATGGGAGTTGTAGTCCAAAACACTCTACTTTGTGCTAACCAATTAAACAACTATCATTTAACTTATCATGAAGAATGAATATTTTTGGTCCAAGCAGCCCATCAAAATAAATATCCCACCTGCATTTGAACATATGATGTCCTGTGAATTCTTACACATTTCATTACTTTTCCTTCGAGTCAGGTTGCAGGTTTTGGGGAACTGGCAAGCATCACCATGCCATCCTTGCTCACATCTGCACTTTCCACAGTCACATGTCCCATGGCCTAGATGAATAGGTGAAAAATAAGAGATAAGATTTTATACATGTTTCCAAGTTCTCTTTCATTTAAAAGGGGAAAAGCTTACTCTTCATACACAAATATTTTGTTTTGAACTCATTAGCCTAAGGGCGGATCTACATTGAAGAATTAATGCAATTGATCTCCCTTGAACTTCCATGGCTCAATGCTTTGGAATTCTTGGATTTGTAATTTGGATAGTCATGACTTTCTTTGGCAAAGAAGGCTAAAATCCTTGTTAAAATATGACTCCAATGATTCCATAGCATTGAGCCATGGCAAAAGCTAATTTTTAACAAAGACTCAAATGTACCTTGTTCTACTTCCAATGGAGGTGCAACCACCCTTCCTCAATACATGGAAGTCTAGAAAATATTGTCTTCAATTCTATGCTTCTCTTGTGTTTTTCTATTACTTCTCCCAAAGTGATGGGTGGGGGCTGAAGATCCATTTGATGTGTTTTGAGAGTTAGCACTAGGAGCCCTCCTTCTGCAAGCACTGCCAAAGAATATGAACTCTTATGTAGTTGTTGATAAATCAAATGGTTTGAATGGGAACCAATATATAAAATCAAGATCTCGGGAAAGGGCTCAGTAGCTTCTGGAGATTTATATGAATCTCCATTTGAAAATAAAAAGCAAGAAACATGGGAAATGGTTGATTTTATATAGCAATTAATGAAAATGTGTGCAGGTGCCTTTCCTATTGTCCTTTCCTGTGGCACCAGATAAGTAGAGTCTCGCTTATCCAACCTTCGGTCAACCAACGTTCTGCATTATCCAACACATTCTTCCTCCTGCCCAGATCCACAGTTGTTTCTGTAGGCAGCAACATGCAGCAGGCCTCTCACACTGGGCGCCCTCCAGGAGGGGCAAAATGTGGCCAGCGCAGACTTTTCCTGTCGGGCACAGCGTCTGGCCTGCATTGGCCATGTCTCATCCCTCCCATCGACCGCCAGGCATGCAGAGAGACCTGCTGCACATATCTGCTTAGAGAAATAGTGGGCCTCTCTGCATGCATGGTGTACTCCGGGAGGCAGTCACAATATGATGCTTAATACGCTTTTCCTTAATCTCTCATTATCCAACATTTTTGCTTATCCAATATTGTGCTGGCCCATTTATGTTGGATAAGCAAGACTCTACTGTACCTCTTTTTTGAGTTTCTAGCTATTAATTCATCTTGATACATCATGGTTCTTATTCATCTTATGGTTTGTCTGGTTTATATGATTAATGATTTCTAATGTTTTGACATTGCTAGTCTTCAATCTCTATATTGAAAGTTAATACAGCTAGATATATAGCTGTCATATTGATTTGTCTGTTTGCCAAGTAAAGTCTTGATAAAACCTGGTTATTTCTTGTCAGGTAACCTTTAAGTAGGACAAAATGGAAGTAACATTATATTTACTATATCAATCCAAATATTTCATTCTTCCTTATCTTTAAGAAATACTTGGTTTTGAGCATTAGAAAGCAATTCTTTCAAAGCAAGCTTTTGACATTTTTAAAGAGAATTGCTCATTTAACACCTGATAAATTCTTCTATCTACACAGCAAAACAAAAGGATGAATGGCTGCAAAAATATTGGTATACAGAATATATTTCACTGAAAGATCAAACCTCTTCTCATTCTTTACTAGTAGTCAATGGTCTCTCTTTCACTGGTCCAAGAAGATAAAAAATTATTCTACCATGAAAAAAATATACCCCCCACCCCACCCCAACATTATCGCCTTTAATGTGATAAAAACACAGCAATTTAGCCTCCTTTCATTTCAGTCTCCCTGGTGAATTAGTAGCTTGATATCTCTTGATAAAGAAAAGAAGCTCCAACAAAAGTGTAAAAGACATTTTTCTCCTCATATCCCTTAAACATCAATTTAGCAGCTGCTTTGCCTTCATAATCCCCTTTTGCTGATGGTCAGGCAGACTTAATCCCCCACAGTCAATGGAGATAAGCATTAATCAAAATACATTGTCACACAAAAGCAAAATATGTATATAAAAGAACCCATAAAAACTTAATGCCAGCCTAACTGTTACGTCGCATTGGTTGCTTGATTTAGCTGGATATAATACCGAATAATTCCAGGCCAGATCTGGTGATACATTTAATGTATAAAATTAATTTAAAATGGCTTTTTTTTATAGAAGTATTTTAATACTAATTGTAAGGAGTCCGAGAATACAATGAAGACCACACTATGTGTTTACATCACTACAGGCTTTACATATTATATTGTGATCTGATGGAAATATTTCTCTGTCTATTTCTTTCTTTCTGTCTCCTTCCCCAGCACTCACTCATGTATATTTCACCTCTCACTCTGCCAAGTTCTCCACAATGATAAAGAACTGATAAAACATTAAAATTTGAAATACACAAATTAAAATATTTAGAAACAAACTAAAAATTCCTTCAAAATAGCTCAAAATGGTGCTGTTCCATTATCTGGGCAGAAGCCACCAGGGGGCATTAGAGAGAGAATGACAGTCCATTTTATTAGGGTGGAGGATGGGTTGAAGGAGTAAAATCACTTCTCCCTGTTTTCCTGATCCCCCCCCCCCACACACACACACACATTTCCCCTTGTGGACCTTACCCTCGTTTATGATATGGGGAAGGAAAATCAGCAAAACCAGGGGAAATTGTTTTCCTCCTTCAACTCTCCCCCCCCCCCCCGGTAAAGTTGGCTATCCTGATCTCTGTAGTACCCCCTAGTGGCCTCCACCCAGATAATGGAACAGTACCTTTAAAATTACAAAAAGTTACAACAGCCAGAACAATCACCTATGGTTTCAAGAATACGGATGGGGTCTGACATCATCTTCTTCACTGGGACAAGTAGCAGATCAAGTTATGGAGCAGGATTTATGTTACAACTACAATCAACCCACCATAAACATGGATTCTGTATTGACAAACAACCATCCACCGCTTGAAAAAAATCCACTATTATCTTGCACCGCAAACCATAAAGCAAACCTTGTTCTTGCCATTTTATATAAGAGACATCATTTTACTATGCTGCTGTATATAATGGAACTTGAGCATCTGTGGATTTTGGTATCCACGGGAGGTTGCTTCTGAAAAAAAAAGCCCAGCAGAGGAGGAGGAAGAGGAGGAGGAGGAGGAAGAGGAGGAGGAGGATTTATATGCTTTTTCTCTCTAAAAAAAGTCTAAAACCATCTCATGCCAAAGGCCGTGATGGAACATAAAAGCATATAAGTTAAAATCATATATACATTTAAAATTTTCTCTAATTTAGAGTTCTAAATACCAATTATCCCCAGACTGCATAAGTAGCCAAGTTCTCTGTAGCTCATGTGAAAACAGATCCAATGCTGCTGGAGCATATAAGGCTAAGAAAGACAGTTCTAATGTGTAGAGCAAACAATTATGATGTCTCTCTTCTCATCCCTTTGCAACTAACAACAATAAAGGGATTAAACTGCAGTAATATATTCACAGAGCAATAGCCAGATTTTATAAATTATACATATATTAAAATCTACTCAGTGTTCAGCAGGCAGGTGAAAGCCTGAAAACATGGAATTCACAGGAATAAAAATAAATAATTCTGCAGCTGGTATGATAATTAAACTGGGCTCATTAGTATTTTATTTTTATGAACTACAAAATTATTCCAAAAGAGCTTCTCGGAATCAGAAAAGTGCTTCATGGAATAGCTTAAGAAACCACTTGTGATTGATCTGCTCATGAATGACAGAGGATTTAGAAGTCAAGCTGGGTGGTGGGGAATCTGAGAAAAACTGCTTGGAAACATCAGCAAGTTCAGAATGCAGCAGTAAAATTGTTGGCCAAGACCAATTACAGAAATCAGACAGATCTTTGCTCTTAGGACACTTTCACTAGCTACCTGACCATACTTCAAAGGATGATTGACAGCCTATGACTCCCTAGACAGCTTGGCCTAGGAAGATATTCACTTATATGAACCTGGCTTTTGAGATCCTCAAGGGAGGCCCCAGACTTGAACTTGCCACCTTAAGATACATGTTTGCCAAGAATGCAATAAAAAGTTCTCACACTGACCCACTGTTACCCTTTTGTAGAAGAATGAAAGCCTCTATTTGTTTTCTCCTATAATTCCTGAACACCCATTATTTTTAATGTAACTCCTTTCCACCCACCCCCATAAACCTTGCTCATTTCTCAGGCAATCAGCCAAATTATCTCCCATTCTGCTCCCTCTTATTTGGCTATTGTTAGGTTTTCCTGATCTCATTATCATTCTCAACAAACCAGTTTTTTTAGTTTGATATCGAAGGCCTTGGATGTTCATTTTATGCCTTATCTTTCTTCCTTGGAGTCTATGTTTGGGGGTGATCTTGATAGCCACCAAGGATCAAATTAATCAGTCATCTGTTCAGCAGTTTTGTCTCTTGTCAGAAATACATTGTGGCAATGTCTGTCACCTATAATTATATAGTCTAAGAGGTGCCAATGCATTGACCAGAGTGTTTCTATGGAATCTTAAACTTACTTTATGGCAGAAGAGTGTGTTAATGAAGGAAAGGGGGGTGTTCCACACGTTTTTGTGAGAAGCAGGATGCCAGTCGGGTTGTTGCTTCCAACTCCAGCTTTCCCTATAATCCCTGACTACAGGTCAAAATGTTGCCCAACTCTTGAATTAAAATCACCCAGGAGTACAATGTTGTTCTCCTTCGGTATCTCAGATAGGATCATATCCAATTTTCCCTTGATGTCTGCATTAGCATCTAGTGTTGGTGCATATGCACTTATGATAGTTGCCTGTTGGTTTTTGGCAATATTAATTTGGAGGGATGAAAGTTGTTTGTTAACCCCAATGGTGAGACAAACAGATGCTTCACCAGGTCATTTTTGATAGCAAAGTTGGCCAATTGTAGTCCGCTCAGAGCTTATTGTGATCCAGTTGCCATAAACTAGGAGAGACCAACTTTCAGAGTTGGCGGACCCTACATAACTGTTCCTT